TGGTATTTTATTGCCGCCTGTTAGCTGTTTCCACCCTGTTTGTGAACTGTCGCGTGCACACACGTTCTCCGGGCTCCCTTTTTTGCAGGGTCTGGAGCAAGCTGGGCCCGTGCGCGAGAGGGAGTGCACAGCGGCTCCTGGACTGAGCCCTCCAGATACACCGTGCCTCAGCCCTTCTTCTTCAGTTTTCATCTGGACAATGCATGCAGCCTTTTAAAAATTACTTAAACCACTGAAGGAGTTAGACCCGGTAGTTCTTTAATCTATTGTTAATCTGAACAGGATTGCAGATGAATTAGGCATTGCGTTGGGTGAGTTAGTAAAACCGCTAGATGATCTCAAATGACAGAAGAGAAAGGAGATGCTCCTCTCTGGGTTAAGACTGTCTCAGCGGGCAATGTCTTCCCTACGCTGCTGCAGCATCTGAAGTGAAACCACTTCAGTGGTCAACAGGATAAAAATAAGTTCAGGGCCTGTCTGTGTGAGAGAGTTTTTCCAGTTGTGCTGGTGTACCTCATCATTTTTTGTGGTGTGGACATTTTATATTTGGTTCAGCTTAAAGCCCCGATGAAGCAACATAAAGCTAGACAGCAGTGGGAGAGCAGAGTTTCTGTGCTGGGATAAGAGCGTTCCCCCGTGGTTTTCTATTGATCTGGTTATATCTATTTACATTCACACCACGGTTTATACGGAATAGCTGAGCCCCCCATTTTAACCCATGCGGTTTTAAATTTAATGTAGGACTTACAGTTTTTAGGTCCAGTTTCCCTTGTTTTCTGCTATCGTGAAGGGTTTGATTTCTGCTGGTTTGGACTGCTTCGCTCCTCCCGCGTTTGGTATTCTTCCAGCGATGGTGTCAACAGCGATCGCTCATAGCTGACAGTGCCTCAAAGGAACCTCCGACACAGCCGTGAAGCAACTGCGCTGCGTGATGAGAGGGACTTTATGCTCTTGTTTTTTTTTTTTAAGCCCTTTAGATGACTATAAAAATACTTGTGGCTGTCATCCAAGACTTTGGGACTAAGCTGCGACTACCAGGAAATGTGTTTGCAGGCATCGTCATGTTATTAGGGTTTCCTTACACCTAAAACTGTTCTGGTTTCACTTCACGTCTGAACATTTTCCATTTCAAAATGGGGATGCTTTATGAAGTAAAGCAGTAATAAGCATTCCTTTTCTGCAATAGCAAATGCTCTTCTCTTAAAATTAATTAAGAACACCTTTGTTGTTGCATGCCCTTGTACTGCATGCCCTGTGCGTTAATGCGAGTGTTAAACTTTGAGTGCAGTTAGGCCACCCTTTGGATGCGTACCGGAGTTGCTTTGCTGCTGGGGCAGCAGTAGCAGGTTGATAATCAACAGCAGAAACTTCCCGTCGAGGTGTTTGCCCACCAAGCCTGAGTCTGCATAGAGGAAAACTTTGGGAATGACATGAGTAGCTATCCAGGGTTTCAACAGCACGCAGATATAAAGCTCTTAACCGTTGGTGTATGATTCCGGGGGACATGAGGAAATTTTCTGGAAGGAAGCACTAGAAAAACAAGGGGGTTTGGAAACAGCGCAGGAGTTGGAAAAACAGAAAATCCACAGTGAATGAAGTAAGCTCTCAGGTTAAACTAGAATTCATCCAAGTTACAAGTTGGAAATGAATTTGCTAGAGTTTGGGTTGTTGCAACGTGCACAGGCTGAGCAAGCTGCTCTGTTTACTGGAGAGCTGGAGTAGATTCTTGCCTTTTTCCCAAGTTGCATGTACCTTTATCTAGGCAGGAAAGATTGAGTGAAGAAATCTGATAGTATCATCACCATGAAAGCAAGTGACCTTTACGCATTGCAGCATGTACGTAGGGCCCCTGTGGAAGGGAGGTGGGGAGAGGGAAGAATGTGTAGTAGATTGATGGATTTTAGATCTTCCTTGTCTGAATCAAGTGAACTGTGTTGCTAAATAAACATAACAATGATCTTGCTATTGATCATCCCCGACGTTGATTATGGCTAAGGGTAACCAGTTCCAAAAAGGCCGAAATTCAAACGGGCACCATGAAGCGAGGAAGAATGAGTGCCAGTAAGAGCTAGACCGCATGTGCATGCGTTCATATTTGCTTGGTTGCCCATGAGGAGCATTGATGTTGGGTACCCGGCTGTTTACTTTCCAACTCAGAAATGTATGGCTCAATAGTTTCATAGTCCGCTACCAATTTTGTGTATAAAAGCATCAGTTTTAGTTGCATCAAGTGTACCCAGCTATAGCTATTGTAGATTTATCATAAAGGAATCTTCTCTGGAAACTGCGTACTCAATGTGACCAACGGCCTTTGAGTCAAGCAGGCGTCGTTCTGAAGGGAACTAAGTATCTGAACCATCAGTCTTCTTGCAGTCTTGTTTGCTGATGAGCTAAAAGGTTATTAGGCTTTGTCAAATCTGTTCTGACAGTATTTTTACATGGATAAACACATTTGTTGTTAATGGGACGCGCTTACAGTTGTGTTGCTCCTTTGAGGAAAAGCAGCAATATATATACCCTTTCAGAAAAAGAACAGTGGCCGGGGAAGGGTCGGCCCTGCGGGGCTCTTCCATTAAGGTTTTGCTTGTAATCTTTCTTTCCCGTTTTTCCATGGTGATGGCGAAATAAGTTCCTTGGAAGGAGATTACGGTTGATTTGTTTTCAGCCCGACATTTTCCATTTGTTTCAGTGTACTTTGGCATCTTAGTCCCTTTCCTATTGGAGGTATTTGAGTTGCTGCTATTTTGGGATGGTTCTGATATTACAGTCTGGCTTGTAAACAGAGCTGGACAGCAACATCTACCTCCATTAGCTTTTAAGTTTTAGGGAGATTGTGAGTGTAAAGGTGGGTTAGCTTTAACTGTCACCTCTGCCAGTTTATACCGCAGTCTCCCAGCATCGTTTCTGCTGTCCAGCAGGTTTGAATGCCTCTGGTGCATGCCTCGCTAGAAGGGAGAAGCTTAGACACATCTGTTTGCAATCTAAATTGAATTTAATCTCCCTTCCATGCTGTTTGGAAACTTTCACCTAGGGGATCTCTTAGTGTTTCACAGCAGGAATAATAGCTGTGGGAGTGTGAAATAGGAGATGAGCCTCTTCCCCTAGCCTTCCCGATGAGGGTCACTCGAGTGCTACTATCACCTTAGTATCTGAGCAGCTTCCAATAGTTCATTCAGCAATGTTGCTAGCTTCTCTTATGTCCTGTTAATCCCCACACCCTGTTCCTGCGTCAAAGTCACAAAACAAGATAGGGGACCTGTGTCCTGATTCCTGTTTCTCTATTCTAGCCCCTACCCCGGGCTGCCGTCTTTTCTCACACCAGCAGGCCACGTAATTAAACACGTGACCCAGCCCTTCCTCCCATCTCACTGGGAAATACAGGTCCCTGGTTTTAACTGGAGTGACTCTCCCAAGCTGTGACACCCAAGCCAGTATGACCCTACCTTTCAGAGCGTAGCTGTGTGTTAGAGCGCTGCTGGCACCCAGTGCCTGCACATCTGCTGCCTAAATACTTGTAGTCCCCTTCTGCCTCTATCCTACAGTTTTAGAAGATGTGAAAATAATTGAGTTAGCCTTGGTGCTCCACAGTGAGGTAGGTGTAGCAGAGCAATCTGGCTCTGTGCGGAGGCTGACAATCTTACGTGTTCCTGGTTATTAGAAGCACGTATAGCGTAGAAGAGAAAGCAGCCATAGGTATATATGGAAAATAAAAGGACTCTTTAATCAGGACCCCTTTCTGTGTTTTGGTTGTGAACCTATGATGTCTAAATTAGAAGCCAGGTTGCGCTGGTCTCCCTCTTTAGTCAATGCAAGGAGACTGGTACCGCCAGAGGATTTAATCGATCTAAGGTCTGAATTGCCAGCTTAGTGGGCAGAA